CAACATAAAATTTTGCACACAATATGGTTTGTGGGGAAATGGAACTGAAAGATAATGGTATGTTTCCACAAAAATTTCTGTCGAGTCACTTCCAAGTCATGGAAATCCCATGTGTTAGAGGAGAACTGCTCCATAGGAATTTTTTTTTTTTGTAATCTTTGTGACCACAATGGATTTGGTAGTTTTTGTTGTTGTTTAATCTTAACTGGAGCAGATCCCCAAGCCTCCTCTTCCGTGCTATACCTGGGTGGGTTCGAACAGCCAACCTTTAGGTTAGCATTTGAGCACAGACCATTTGTGCTATGTAGGTACTTCACCAGAATATAGCCACAGTTAATTCTTGGTATGTGTCCTTTGAGACTTTTAAAATACATATATGTAAAACATTTTTTTTTTTTAATTGTACAGACTATGACCTTACATTTTGTCATTTTCCTTTTTTACCTAAACAACATGGCATTTTTTTAATATCCTTACTCCTGGCTTTTAGTAGCTGCTTGATATAATTGTCATATGAGTCTGTTTGAGGGTATATGCTGCTGATCCATTTTTGTTGTTGAATACCTCATTGCTGAATTTCCTTTCACGTGGTGTCTGTCTTTAATTACCATGTTTAAAGTATTTTATACATAGAAAACCTTGTTTCCCAATAATATTTTTTAGTATTCATTGTGGAGAACAAAAGTATACAGTCGGAACAAGTTCTCTTTTAAAGCAATTAATACACATGCACCATTCATTAATTGGTCACCTATTACCCAAAGGCAGCACTCACTGGAAATGTCTCTCTTGGGAAGTTGTAGCCAGTGTTATTTATATCCATCAATGATAACTGTCATTAGGTGCTGTTCAGTTGGTTTCAACTTGTAGTGATGACATTACAGTAGAATGAAAAACTGCTCAGTCCTGTACCATCCTCATGAACATTGCTGTTTGAGCCCATTGTTAAAGCCACTACATCAATTCATCTCTTTCAAGGTCTACCTCTTTTCGCTGACTTTTTGCTTTACCAAGCATGATGTCCTTCTCCAGGGACTGGTCCATCCTGATTAACATGCATAGTGCATGAAACAAAGTCTCACCATTGTAGCAAGAAACATTCTGGCTGTATTCCTTCAAGATGGGTTTGTTTGTTGTCTTTTTGGTAGTCCATTTTATATTCAGTATTCTTTGCCAGCACTATAATTCAAATGCAACAATTTTCCTTTGGTCTTTTCTGCTTATTGTCCAGTTCTTGCATGCATATGAGGCAAGTGAAAATACCATGACTTGGGTCAGGCACACCTTAGTATTCAAAGCAGCATATATCATAAACATATTTAACACTTAAAAGAGGTCTTTTGCTGCACATTTGTTCAGTGTATGACTTCTTGACTGCCTTTGCCATGAATATTGATTATAGATCCAAGTAAAATGAAATATCCTTGACAACATCAGTCTTTTCTCCATTTATCCTCATGTTGCTTATTGGCCCAGTCGTAAGGATTTTGTTTTTTCTTTATATTGAGGTGTAACCTATAATGGAGGCTGTAGTCTTTGATCATCAGCAGTACATACTTCAAGCCCTCCTCACCTTGAGCAAGCAAGGTTGTCGTCATCTGCATATCACAGGTTGTCGTCATCTGCATATCACAGGTTGTTAAGGAGGCTTCCTCCAATCTTGATGCCACATTCATCTTCACATAATCCAGCTTCTTAGACTATCTGCTCAGCATACAGATTAAATAAATATGGTAAAAGGATAAAACCCCTGACACTTTTCCTGATTTTAAACCACGCTGTATCCCTAGTTTGGGCCTAACTGTCTTTTACTCTATGTACAGGTTCCCCATGAGCACAGTGAAGTGTTCTGGATTCTCATTCTTCACAGTGCTGTCTGTAATTTGTTATGATCTACACGGTCTAATGCCATTGCATGATAAATAAAGCACAAGTAAACATCTTTCTGATATTCTCTGGATTCAGCCCAAATCCTTCTGTTCCTGAAACCACACTGATTAGTCTTTTAACCTTATCCTTCCTCGACTTCCTCTGCTTTAGATTTCTCAGTAAAAAGGAAGTTTGGTTTCAAAACAAAGCCATTTTTAACCTGTTATCTTACCAGACAATCTGCATGCAGAGTTCCATATCGATCGCAGAGGTTATTCTAAGTGAAAAGCACTCATTATAAATTACATTAAAAGAAGTTCTTTGGTTACTTTTAAGTATTTAGAGTACTCGGGTTGACAAAGAGAAGTAGCCTTTGGTCTTTTCATCAGAATATCTATTGCTTTAAATAGATATTAGTCATTTTTATTTGCATTTGTGTTTATTTGCAGCATCGATGCACAAAAGTGTTTTTCTTTGGCTCTAAAGAAGAGTTGCTTTTGCCTCTCTCCTAAATAAGTTGTCCTCCTTTTTAACATTAATTTACTTAGAAAGCCCCTATAGGGATGTTTGTCCTTGAAAAGGTCATCTTAGGTGGTGCCTGGTCTGTCTGTCTTTCCTAGTTATACCACTGTATAGACTGAATACAAAAATCAGGTAGAAGCAGCCTGCAAGAATGGGAAAAGAAAACAGACCCAGGACTGGACTGGACTAACTCAGTCCAGAATGGGAGGCAGATTTGTGGGTCAGCCCCTTACAGCATCCTGAGTAGACAGGATTGAGTGCTGTACCTCTGAATCATTTCACATTCCTAATCAGAAAGATTAAATAGACTTAGTGTCAAATAGGATTACTTGAGATTTGATTGCATCTCATTGGTATTTTTGTGATTCAAATTTTTCTTTTTCTCAGTTTTTTTTGCTTGTTCATTTCTTTTGCATAATTATATGGCTAAAATTAAAAAAATAACTTTTTATCTCCTTTTGTGTTTTTCCTAAAAAAAACAAAATTATAAAGGATTATTTCTAAAGAGTAGATGGAATTTTGTTTTATACTATCATTAATTATAGTTAGCCTTAGTTAGAGATTTACTATGAGTACAGTATGTTTTTTGGGAGATGTTAAGATCAGTGAGAAGTGAAATTATATTTTGCTTTGGGAGAATAAACATTTCTTCCAAATTAATAGCGTAAGAACTTCCTATAATAATGCATGCAAATATCCTTTTTTTTTTTTTCAAGTTACTTCTCTAAGTTCTTGGAGGACAATGGCCCCATGGACATAAGAGACAAGGTATTCTCCAACGAATATAGATTTTTCCCAGAAGAAACGCGACAGATAGTACAGAAAGCAGGCGGTTTGAAACATTTTCTTCTGAGATGCCCTCGTTTTGTTGTGATTGACAACTGTATCGCCCTGAAGAAAGTTTCATCACGGACCAGGAAGAAGGGAAAGAGGAAAAACATTAAGGAAGATGAAGATGACCTTTTAAACATAGATGATGAATTGTATTTACCATTTTTTTTACCACTGAACCCAGAAGCTAAGGAATTTACACCCGAGTCAGATTTATCTTCAGCAGCAGCTTCTGTGAATACAGTGCCCAAACCAGTGTCCGTTGATTCTCCTGACCCAACATGTAAAGAGGTGGAACCCCAACTGGCATCCAAAGATTTTCCCAGACCGGCTTCTGAAGATGGGGAGCTCAAATGGCTCTCTTCTGATTCTTACCTGCCAGTCTCTAAAGATGCAGCTCACATGTCAGTCTCTTCTCTTCCTTCCAAACCAGTGTCTGAGGATGTGACGTCAACCTACTGTACTCAACCCCAGTTGGTCACAAACTGCTGCACGTATCTTCCTCTCCAAGGGTTTGACATCACACAGACACCACCAGTGTATATCAATGTGCCGCCATGTGTGCCTCAGTTTGCTGGCATACACACACCTTTGGCCAGCGTTTCTGAGTATCAACCGCAACCAGCAGTTCCAGTGGTGCTGTCTTTAGTGGCTCACAGTAGGCCAGATCCCGATGCAGTTGTTTGTTTGGAGGGTCATCGTGTGAATGCCGAGAATGCCTCTGGTAGCCACATTGCCTCCGAAACACCAGCCCTTCAAGGCTCTCTGGGGACATCAGCGAAGTCACAGTGCAGTGTGGAAAGTGCTGATGCAGCCCTCACTGAGTCTAGCAGAAATGATGGTCACAGTGGGAAGTTGGTCAGCAAGGAGGAAGGAAGTAAAACCAAGACCAGAGCAGTTGCAGCCCGCCCACCTACAGAAGTGGCTGCTGTCCAGGTACCATTTAAAAGTTTTCTTGATACTGAAGTTGTTCTTTGCATCTTTCATTGCTTCCATAGTTCCTAACATCCTTAAAAGTTATTAGCTTTTTAATGGTTACTAAAGCTTTTGTCTGAAAATGTTTTAAAACTATGAACCCTTCAGTAAGGCATGGCAAGAGATCTTGTCAGAAAGAAGTGTGGGGTCCTATAAGATTCTTCTTCCTCACCCACATCCTGCGCCCAGCAGGTGGAGCTCAAACACCATCACAATCTGTGTTGTGGCAGGAGGATGTGACTTAACAGAAAAGTGCATGTCCTGACAGTGCTTCCTGTACCACACACATCCCCACAATCACAGCATTGCTGGCAGTCTGCTCCTGAGACTTCACACAGGGATACGGAGAAGAGGGCAGGGAAATATGCTAGGCTGCTTCCTAGGGGAAGAACAAAGGAAGAGTCTGGGCTCCACCTACCAGACCAGCATGAGGAAGTTAAAATGTTCTACCGGAAACATGAGGGATGAGTCTTAACACTTCCTTTTTATGACAGAATAAATTGAGATTTCTTTATATTGGCCTTTTGTTGTTGTTGTTAAGTGCTATGGAGTCGGTTCCAACTCATAGCAACCCTGTATAGGGTTTCCACGGAGTGGTTGGTGAGCTTGAACAGCTGACTTTGCAGTTCAAACTCAACTTTGCAGACCAGCACATTAACCCCCCAGTGCCACACCAAGACTTCATATTACTTTTACAGGGCTTGACTTCATTAAACCCTTAATGGATTTCCTTCTCTTCCTTATGGTTTCTGTTTTCTAGGGAGCTTTGAAAAAGTATGGTGAAGAGTTAGAATCAAAGCGATTATCAGTTATACTGATTTTAAATAATTCTTTCATTGTACAGATGTTTGCAGAAAGCATAGACTATTTACTTAAATCAGCCAAATAAAAATTCTGTCCAAAAATTGTGGGCAATTTAGAAATGAATTGACTTTTAAGTGTGCATTTTTTTTTAAGCATCTGTTTTGCCTCATAGGTGTCCTGGGATGTAGTACACAAGGAAGTCAATACTGAACCTTATGAACGTTTTGAGTCAAGGCCGGTAAGTCAGAATTGTAAAAAATCATTTAAAAGTTTATTTTTCACTTAACAAGAGAGGGTAGAGGGTGATGAACCGGAATTATTTTGGAGACAGCTAATCTCATGCAAGGAGCTCTGGCAGTATAGTGGTTACGAATCAGGCTGCGAACCTCAAGGTCAGCAGTTAGAAACTACCAGCTGTTCTGTGGGAGAAAAATGAGGCTTTCTGCTCCTATAAATTGGAAACCCTATACAGGGTCACTATGGGTCAGAATCAACTCGACGGCACTTAACAACAACAACAATCTCATGCAAAATCATCATAAAATAAGCTTTAGAACAAAAAAAGAAAACTCTCATTGTTTTTATTGTTAGAATTTAGGGAATGAGGGACAAGGGAAAGGTAAGTTTTTCTAGTTTATTTATTTCAAAGTATAAAGCATGTATTCATTTATAACTAAGCTTATTCACATGAGTAATGTTTTTATTGTTAGGCTCCATTGTGTCGGTTCCACCTCATAGCACGACCCTCTGTACAACACAACAAAACACTGCTTAGTCCTGCGCTATCCTCACAATTGTTGTTATATTTGAGTCCATTGCTGCTGCCATGTGTCAGTCTATCTCATTGGGGGTCTTCCTCTTTTAACTGACCCTCCACTTTACCAAGCATGATGTCCTTCTCCAGGTCCTGGTCCCTCCTGATAATATGTCCAAAGTCTGAGAGATGAAGTCTAGCCATCCTGGTTTTTAAGGAACAAATTCAAATGCAGTGGTTCTTCTTATTCATTGTCCAAATTTCACATGCATATGAGACAATCGAAAGTACCATGGCTTGGTTCAGGTGCACCTTAGTCCTAAAACTTCCATCTTTGCTCCTGAACACTGTAAAGAAGTCTTTTGCAGCAGATTTGCATAATGTAATAACATTGTTTGATTTATTAACTGCTGCTGCTTCCATTAAGTGTTGATTGGATCCAAGCAAAATGAAGTCTTTGACAATTTCAGTCTTTTCTCCATTTATCATAATGTTATTTATGGGTCTAGTTGTGAGAATTCTTGTTTTCTTTACATGGGTTTGCAGTCCATACTGAAGGCTGTGGTCTTTTATCTTCATCACTAAGTATTTTCACAAAGTCCTCTTTGTTTCCAGCAAGCAAAGTTGTATTGTCTGCATGTCATAGGTTAATAATGGGTCTTCCTCCAGTCCTGATGTCAAGTTCTTCATATAATTCAACTACTTAGATTATTTTGCTCAGCATACAGATTGAAAAAGTATGGTGAAAGGATGCAACCCTGGAGCACATTTTTCCTGATTTTAAACCATTCAGTGCCCCTTTTGTTCTGTTCAAACAACTGCCTCTTGTTACTATGTACTATGTATAGGTTCCTCTGAGCACAGTTCAGTGTTCTGGAAAATCCATTCTTCATAATATCATCCGTAGTTTGTCACGATCCACACAGTCAAAGGTATTTGCATAGTCAAAAAAGCTCAAACAAACATCTTTCTGGTATTCTCTGCTTTCAGCTAAAAAAATCCATCTGACATCAGCAGTGATATTCTTTGTTCCTGGCCCTCTTCTGAAGCTAACTTGAATTTATGCCAGGTCCCTGTTAATATACCATTGCAACTGTTTTTTAATTACCGTAAGCGAAATTTTACTTGTAAGTGATATTAATGATACTATTTGATGATTTCTAAAAATTGATTAAAATAAATTCTACAGCCAGAGTTTAGATAAAAAAAAAGAAAAAAGACAGTATATAATTTTCTATCTGCCTTTGCTGGTTTGGGACATATAAATTAATTCTTGATTTCAGACCGCTGTTCACTGTGACCCTTTTGCTATAATAAGACCGAAAACAGTTTTACTACTGGTTCATGGTAAAGTTTTATCAGTTAACTTAATAACTAAAACAGGAATGCTTTCCATAGCAATAAACTACTAGTCTGTACATAGGCATTAAGTAGCACTCTCCACAGAAAACTGTATTCGCTCTGGTCCACAGTTCTCTGACTGATAATTCCCAGAGTTTCAAATCCTTGCTTGTCTGAAGTTTTCACCTTCCTTGCTAAGAAAAATTGAAAAGGCCGTGGTGTTGGAGTGACACAGGTGATGTCGAAAGAGGACCAGGTTTGTGACACAGGGATGGCTAGAGTCCCAATGCCTGACTTTGTAGACTCCTCATCACTGGTAAGATAATCACTGTAGCTGTGAGAAGTTGCCAGTATCACACCAATATTCCGTATGGCACAAGTATAATTGTTCATATTCTAAACAGTATGGAACTATATATTTGCTGTTTTTTCTTGCGTTTTATAAAAAAACAAGCTGGTCCATGAGGAAGTTATACGAGGGGTCGTCAAAAAGTTCATGGGAAAATGGAATTAAAAGATAATAGAGATTTTCCACAAACTTTTTTTTTTTTAATTTAAGGTTTTTTATTGTGGATTGAGT